TGCCCGTGTGTGTATGGATGTGTGTGTGGGTGCATATGCATGTGTGGGTGTGTGTACACATGCATACATGGATGTGTGAGTGTGGATGCATGTGTGTATGTGTACTTGTGTGCATGGATGTGTGTGTGAGTGCAGGTGCATGTGTGTGAGTGTGGGTGCATGTGGGAGCATGCACGTATGTATGTGCATGTGCGCATGAGCATGCATGTTGGGGCTGAGCTCTCGGCTGCAGGGGAACGAGGAAGCACATGTTACATGGAGGCCCTGACTCCGTCCGAGCTCCCCAGGCTCCTTTTCTGTTGCTTCCTCCAAAGTTTTCTCATGACATTCTCAACCTGACAGGTCAGCATCTTATCTTTTAGACACTGTGGAAAAACCACCCATTTTCATTGCCTCCCTCAGCCCCCTAGCTCCGCTCCCATCCCTATCACCCTCAAATCAAGGGACAGTGAGTTCGCAGAGGCGCCCTGCCCCATCACCAAGATCCCTGACCATTTTCTGGCCCATGGTTCTGAAATCTCAGGGGCCCAAACAGTCCCAGTGTTCAGATGGACACAGACATTCTCCATCCACCCCTTACTCCATCCCTCAGCTAAACCCACCTTTCCTCAAGCAACGGCTTCTATGCGGCTCCATGCAGCAGCCTCCCCCTGCTCTCGCAGCCTCCTCTGCGCACCCTGGCCAGTTCCAGCCCCCACTTGAGCCACCTGGCCGATTCCAGGCTCCCACAATGCCCTCACCGGTTCCAGGCCCCCCAGCATCCTAGCCGGTTCCAGCTCAGCCGTAGGGCTTCGTGTCATCTGATCTGAAGGCCGTGAGCTGGTCTCCACAGAAGGAAGGTATTGGCTACTGCAAAGATCAGTTGAGTCCCCCACTTCTAGCAAACCAGAGGGCTGCTTTAAAATTAAAATCCATCCCTCTCCTGTGCTTCCCCATCAAGGCTTTGGACATTTCAGGGTTGTTTTCACCCCAGTGGCCCCTGCAGGCAGGAGGCCAGCCTGCCTTCCCCAGCATACAGCCCATGTTCACTACGGTTCATGTGAATCCATCAATTTTCTGGCCCAGACAATTCACTGTGCTGCCTCTCATCCCCAAACAGAAATGAAGTCAGCCACCAGCCCTGAGGTCAGTGTGCCTTCTTGAGGCTCTGCAGGGTGTGGCTGGGGCTGTGAGGTCACCCAGGCTGGAACCTGATGAAACGGGACTGGGTGTGGGCCGCTGGGCAGAGATCAAGGTAAGCGTTTCTGGGCCAAAGCTTGATCTCCCTGACAGATTTCTTGCCCACAGATGGGGCTGCTTTCTCAGTTGTGTAAGGGACACAGGCTATGGTCGTCCAGTACCCACCATGGCCACGAAACCAGAGCTCTGCCAAGAGATTCAGGCAGTGTGGCCTGATGGTGGGTGTCCTGCCAACGGAGCTTTCCCAGGCTAAGCAGAGAGGGTGTCCTGCACTGTAAGAAGCCAGCTCTGGAAAGCCTTTCATCAGGCTAGGCAGGAAGGAGGGGGCCGGGCCTCCCATGTCCCTCGTGCAGTGCAGACAAGGACATGGGGTGGGGCACAACCCTGGCTTGGAGCAAACAGTGTGGGCAAACACAAACAGTGACATGATGGTCACAGGTTGCCTTGAAAACTGGTACCTATGGTGCTCTGGCTTGGGGTGTGTGGGCAGAAGCAGGCACCTCTTGGAAGAGTGCACTGAATTCTCTTTTTCTACAGAAAACCAAATTGTGAACCCCAATCCTAGACTATTCATCTATCTTTCCTTTCCCCTTCCTTCCTTCCTTCCTTCCTTCCTTCCTTCCTTCCTTCCTTCCTTCCTTCCTTCCTTCCTTCTTTCTTTCCTTCCTTCCTTCCTTCCTCCTTCCCTCCCTCCCTCCTTCCTTCCTTCCTTCCCTTCTCTCTTTCTCTCTCTTTTTGACAGAATCTTGCTCTGTCACCCAGGCTGGAGTGCAGTGATGTGATCTCAGCTCACTGCAACCTCCGCCTCCCAGGTTCAAGCAACTCTCATGTTTCAGCCTCCCAAGCAGCTGGGATTACAGGAACCTGCCACTACACCTGGCTAATTTTTGTATTTTTAGTAGAGACAGGGTTTCACCATATTGGTCAGGCTGGTCTCCAACTCCTGGCCTCAGGTGATCCACCTGCCTCCAAAGTGCTGGGATTACAGGCTTGAGCCACTGCAGCTGGCCTATTATTTACTTATTTAAGGCCAAAATGCAAACAGATTCCTGCCTGCGAGTCACTGTGTGTGATCCTCAGATGAGGGTGATGGGGCTCCTAGAGCTTGGGGGTCTCCAGGTGAGGTGCGGGAGGACTCCAGGAGTCCCATTTGCACCCAATGGGGGTGGGAGGCAGGTTGTCAGGAAGAAAGACAACTTAATGCTTCTTTGAATTTTTTCTTAGAGAGTCTCGCTCTGTCGCCCAGGCTGGAGTGCAGTGGTGCAATCATGACTCACTGCAGCCTTGAACTCCTGGCCTCAAGCCATCCTCCTGCCTCGACTTCCCAAATCACGGGGACTACAAGCATGTGCCACCATGCCTGGCTAATGTTGCTACTTTTTGTAGAGACAGGGTCTTGCCAGGTTGCCCAGGCTGGTCTTAAGCTCCTGGGCTCAAGCCATCCTCCCACCTCAGCTTCCCAAGTAGCTGGGACCACAGGCACATGCCACCATGCTCAGCTAGTTTAAAAAAAAAAATCATTTTTTGTGGAGACAAGGTCTCCTTGCGTGGCCTGGTCTTGAACTCTTGGATTGCCTCAAGTGATCCTCCCGCCTCAGCCCCTCAAAGTGCTGGGATTACAGTGTGAGCCACTGCGCCCAGCCTGCTTTCAATTCTTAAATCAAGGGAGAAATACAAGCTCAAACGAAAGTTTCAGTCATCCCAGTTTGGGGCTTACTAATCATCTCCAGGATAGAGACTCAAAGCTAAAAGTTGCCTTTTCTTGTGCTCGTGATCCAGGAGCGGTCTAACCGGGACAGACCTTTGGGGCTGCCTAGCGTGGGTGTCTGCTGGAACCTTCTAAAATGTCTCGGCCTATTTAATTGGAGAATTCACTGAAGAATTAAAAGACTCAGTAAAAAAAGAGGTTTGGTTCGTTCATGAAAGTAAGTAGCTTGTGAAACGCTTTATTTTCCTATGACTAAAATTCCACCTTGTAACTCCCAATACGAATTGCTTCCAGTTACTCATTAGTACAAATTAAACCTGTTTCACCATGCTCACGGGAAAATGGCAGACCGTCTTCATTCACCAACTGAGCGCTGGCTGCTCTTGAAGGGAGCTCTGACATTGTTCTGTGATGGAGGCAAAGGCTTATTTCACTGTTGGGGAAGGGGCAGAAGGACTTAGGCCAGACAGGCGGGGGTGTGGAGGGTGAGCCATGAGGGGCACCTTAGTTGCTTCTGAAAAGCTATCTTAAAAGGCCAAGTTTCTGTAACAGGTGTCCCTCCCTCCCTCTCTCCCTCCCTCCCTCCCTCCCTCCCTCCCTTCCTTCCTTCCTTCCTTCCTTCTTTCTCTCTCTTTCTCTTTCTCTCTCTCTCTCTCTTTCTTTTTTTTTTTTTTTGAGATAGAGCCTCACTCTTTCATCTAGGCTGGGGCACAATGGTGCAATCTCAGCTCACCTCCTGGGTTCAATCAATTCTCCTGCTTCAGCCTCCCAAGTAGCTAGGACCACAGGCGTGCGCCACCACACCCGGCTAATTTTTGTATTTTTAGTAGAGACGGGGTTTCACTGATTGGCCAGGCTGGTCTTAAACTCCTGACCTCATGATCCGCCCACCTCAGGCTCCCAAAGTGCTAGGATTACAAGTGTGAGCCACTGTATCAGGTCCCCCCCACCCCCCTTTTTTTTTTGAGACCATCTCACTCTGTTGCCCAGGCTAGGGTGCAGTGGTGCAATCTTAGGTCACTGCAGCCTCTGCCTCCCAGGTTCAAGCGATTCTCCTGCTTAGCCTCCCGAGTAGCTGGGATTACAGTCACCCACCTCCATATCCAGCTAATTTTTTGTGTTTTTTAGTAGAGACGGGTTTCACCATGTTGGCCAGGGTGGTCTCGATCTTCTGACCTCAAGTGATCCATCCACCTTGGCCTTCCAAAGTGCTGGGATTACAGGTGTGAGCCACCATGCCCAGCCACAAGTGGCCCTTTCTAAGCCCCAAGATGTCACTGCATTTTCATTGAAGGTAGAAAAAGAATGTAAGCATGTTTGTCTGAGAGGGAGGGAGTAGCTTTAAGGATTCTGAGTGGGAAGTGAGTGGTTTCATTTTCTGGCCTTATGATATGGTTCGGCTCTATGTCCCCACCCAAATCTCATGGTGAATTGTAATCCTCAGTGCTGGAGGTGGGGCCTGGTGGGAGGGAGCCACCTCTCCTGGCTGCATTTTTTTTTTTTTTTTAATGCACTTAATGCTGGGTGCCATGGCTCACACCTGTAATCCCTGTGCTTTGGGAGGCTGAGGTGGGAAGATCACTTGAGTACAGGAGTTTGAGACCAGCCTGGGAAACACCGAGATCTCATCTCTACCAACAAACAAAATAGCCAGGTGTGGTGGTGCACACCTGTAGTCCCAGCTCCTTGGGAGGCTGAGGCACGAAGATTGCTTGAGCCTAGGAGTTCAAGGTTGCAGTGAGCTATGATTGCACCACTGCATTCCAGCCTGGGTGACAGAGCAAGACCCTATCTCCATTTAAGAAAAAAATGCATTTAAGAAATCACCTTAGTACTTGGTAAGCTATTAAGTGGTTTGTTTTAAGTGTATTAATTACACAGCCAGGATAATAACTTGGTTGCTAAGAGCTTTGAAGTGGCTCCAAGCAAGAAGACGGGCATTATTAAGCTACAACTTAGAGTCTCAGAATGAACTATTTCCATCCTTGCTGTCCTTTGCTTAACTGTGGGATAAGTATCATTTTCTCAACATTCAACACATGTGTCCTTAATCGTCCTCTACGACCCTGGTTCCACGTTGTCAACAGAACACAGAGCGGCCGCAAACACCTACTGGGTTGTTACTGGCCTTTCCTGCCAGGATGAGGCGGGCTTTGACCTTGTTCATGTTGAAGTTCTTCAAGTAGGCCTCGTAGATTCTCTTGGCCAGATATTTGAGATCTGCGGCTTCAGAATCTTCTATGTCATGATCGCAGGTAAGAATTTCTGCTTTCAGTTTTGCTTTTTCAGATCTTGGCATTCGTCCAAAACGAATCGCTAGGGTTTGGAGGGGGAAATACGGGCATGAGCAGTGAGGTCATGACTGCACTGACAGGGCTGGGCGAGGGGCTCCCCCGGGACTTAAACCAGGAATGAAAACTCACGGGCAGTTCAAACCCATCCTTGATTACTATTCAGCTTTCTACCACGGAGAGATGAAAACCTCAAACTCCGTATACGGTCGGCTTTTAAATGTGTGCAGGCTGAAGGTGAGTGACACCGTCATCCATCTCATTAGCAGGGCACACGCCACCGTTAGAGGCATCAACTTTTGAGTTAAGGAGGTGAATGGGGCTTCAGGATGAGTTTATATAACTGCTTCCTTTTCCAGAAGGTGGACATGCAAGTGTCGTGAATGACTGACTTGACAGTTGCACCCACGTCACAATTAGCATGTTCGGAAACTACGATGTGATTGGCTAGAAGGAAATGCCTACTGTGGTGGGCGTTTGAGGTGGCAGCCCCTTCCCACGGATGAGGCGGACATTCTGCCATTTTGGTCACTTTCAGCTGGCTTTTCGATTCTGTACCAAAGTCTTACCATCTGCAGTTTCTAACAGGGAGTCCAATACACCACTGAATCTCAGCCATTGGAGACTTTCTTTTTTCTTTGAGACAGAGTCTCACTCTGTTGCCCAGGCTGGAATGCAGTGGCACAATCTCAGCTCACTGCAACTTCCTGGATTCAAGCTATTCTCCTGTCTCAGCCTCCCAAGTAGCTGGGATTACAGGTGTGCACCACCACGCACAGCTAATTTTTGTATTTTTAGCTGAGACGAAGTTTTTGTCATGTTGGCCAGGCTGGTCTCAAACTCCTGACCTCAAGTAACCGCCTGCCTCCGCCTCCCAGAGTGCTGGGATTACAGGCATGAGCTACCGTGCCCGGGAGACTTTGATTTTCTCAGGCCACTCTGATTACAAAATGACTCGGGGTGAAATGTTGAAGCACATTCATTCATAGCTCGGTCTGTTCCCTTTGAACAAGGAAGGGGAACCGAGGAACGGACTGGGAGCACGTGCGGGGCCAGCTTACCTACCGTTGTGTGACATCCCGACGGAAAGGCACTTGTGAAAGCGACAATACTGGCACTTGTTTCTATTCTTTTTCTGGATCTTGCAGCTGCGGTCACACTTGTCATACACCAGCTTGAGTCGGATTGTTCGCCGAAAGAAGCCCTGTGAGGGGATACACGGATTTAAAGACACGGGCCCCCGAGAAACCAGCGCCCTTGCTTTACTTGCCTTTTTTGCTGCCCATTTATTGTTTCTTTTTAAATGAATGAAATTTAGAGAAATAGTTCTCCTAGGCAAGGCATGGTGGTCACACCTGTAATCCCAGCACTTTGGGAGGCTGAGGTGAGTAGATCACCAGAGATCAGAAGTTCGAGACCAGCCTGGCCAACAATGGTGAAACCCCATCTCTATTAAAAATACAAAAACTCCCGGGCATGGTGGCACAGGTCTGTAATCCCAGCTCCTCTGGAGGCTGAGGCACAAGAATCGCTTGAACCTTGAAGGTGGAGGTTGCAGTGAGCTGAGATTGCACCACTGCACTCCAGCCCCGGCAACAGAGCAAGAGTCCATCTCAAAAAAAAAAAAAAAGATAAATAGTTCTAAAAAGTCTGAAATGATTGGGACAAATATAGAATTTTCAACATCGTTACATTTAGTGTGAAAAACAATAAAATAAGGCATGTTTCAGAGTCATTTCAAAACGACCTCATCTGACTTGGGCAAACACAATTACAGTTTTCCAAAGAGTTACTCAGCTTTGTTACCATGTATATAAACGTAACTATCCCCAGGTTATGACATTTCCGTATTTGTGACTGAAGACTTTATAGGAATTTTTGTGAGAGTATATTAACTCCTTCAAAGACAAACGGGACAATAAAAGGAAGCCAGCTGTTTGCAAACAACGTCCCTGCCTTGTAACAGTGCCTTAAACTCTACCCAGCAAGGAACCATGTTACTAGATAGTCCATAAAAACAAAACTAAATGAGTAATTCATCATGGCCCTACGGAAAAGGCTACTTTACAAGGAGCCTTTTTTTCTTTTTTCTGTCTTTCTTTTTTACTTTTTAGACAGAGTCTGGCATTGTTGCCTGGGCTGGAGTGCAGTGGCATCATCTCGGCTCACTGCAATCTCCGCCTCCCAGGTTCAAGTGATTCTCCTGCCTCAGCCTCCTGAGTAGCTGGGATTACAGGTGCCTGCCACCGCGCCTGGCTAATATTTTGTATTTTTAGTAGAGACGGGGTTTCACTGTGTTGGCCAGGCTGGTCTCGAATGCTTGACCTCATGATCCACCAGCCTCAGCCTCCCAAAGTTCTGGGATTACAGGCGTGAGCTGCCGTGCCAGGCTACAAGGAGCTTCTTCAAAGGTATGATATGTGGTTGCAAATCTTGCAAAGGAGTTCATTTTTGCTTCGGGTTCTTTTTCCTCTGCTTTTAAGTCATTCTATATTTTTGCTGCAGTGGGTCTGCTTGGCCCATGGGGGAGGGACAGCAGTGTGCTGGGGGAATGTGAGAGGCAGGCTGATGTCTCCATGATGTCCTTACCTAGGCTTAGCACAGTGGCGAGGCTAAGGAACACATGGGGTTAGAGTGGGAAGGGTGGGGAGAGAAGGTTCTGGATGGCAGAATGCCACGATGTCCTGGCCGTGAGGTTCTCCCTGTAGCCCAGGCCTTCTAGGCCAGGCCTGGATTGGGGCAGAATGCTGTTGTTCCAAGATCACAGATTGTGCCAGAAAGGCGGTGGCATTTTCCGAGTTAGTGAACACCTGCGGCATATGCCGTGAGAAGGGATTTCTCATTCAGAGCAAATATTCAGATGACGGTTTCCTACGTGTCATGTACATGGCGCCAGATTTGAGCACTTCTTTGTAATCCTAAAGAAACGCTGCTGCAGGGGCTCTCCTCACCACGCTGGCAAACACAGAAGGACCACCAGTCCACTGGCAGCATGCGGGACAACAGGGCCGCCTTCATGCACTCCTGGCCTGGGTCACATCTGTTTAGGTCAGGCTGAGCCAGCATGAAGATACACAGGGGGTTCTGTGGCTGGAATCAGGTGGAGAAGCCCCTGATGTACAGGAAGGAACAGCCGGCGGGGGCAGAAGCAGCCAGTCTCTGGTTCTAGTCCCCACTGCTGGGCACTGTGGGACCCTGAGAAAGATACTCTGTGTCTCTGATGGCCAATCCTCCAGCAGGAGCATGAGAACACCCGCCCCACCTGGCCTTCGGGAAGCGTCTAGAGATCAATGGTAAAGGCTCTCTGTCTTGTATCCAAATGAAGCGATCATTCTTAATGTGACTTGTTTTCTTTTTTCTGAGACAGAGTTTCATTCTTGTTGCCCTGGCTGGAGTGCAATGGCATGAAATCGGCTCACTGCAACCTCTGCCTCCCAGGTTCAAGTGATTCTCCTGTCTCAGCCTCCCAAGTAGCTGAGATTACAGGTATCTGCCACTACACCCTGTTAATTTTATATTTTTAGTAGAGACAGGATTTTGTCATGTTGGCCAGGCTGGTCTTGAACTTCTGACCTCAGGTGATCTGCCTGCCTCAGCCTCCCAAAGTTCTGGGATTAGAGGTGTGAGCCACTGTGCCTGGCCCAATGTGGTTTATTTTATTTTAAAGAACACACTTCTGTAAGTATTTACAAAGCGCAGAACCATTTGTCCTAGACTCTCTAAAGCAGTGGTCTCCAGCCTTGTTGGCACTAGGGACTGGTTTCATGGAAGACAATTTTCCCACAGGTGGGAGGTAGGGGAGGGCTGGTTTTGGGATAAAACTGTTCCACCTCAGATCATCAGGCATACACGCTAGATCCCTCAAATCCGCAGTTCACAATAGGGTTCATGCTCCCAGGGGTTCTGTGTTCTAAAGAGAGAGGCTAATCTATCACTGAGGTCAGTTTCTTTCTTTCCTTTTATTTTTTTGAGACAGAGTCTCACTCTTGTTACCCAGGCTGGACTGCAGTGGCATGATCTCGGCTCACTGCAACTTCTGCCTACTGGGTTCAAGCGATTCTCCTGCCCCGGCCTTCTGAGTAGCTGGGATTACAGGTGCCTGCCACCACACCTGGCTAATTTTTTTGGTATTTTTAGATGGGGTTTCACCATGTTGGCCAGGCTGGTCTCAAACTCCTGATCTCAGGTGATCTATGTGCTTTGGCCTCTCAAAGTGCTGGAATTACAGGCATGAGCCATGGTGCCTGGCCTGAGGTCAGTTTCTTATCTGGGACTTTCTGAGATCACTCAGTAATGACTGCCATTTGCTATAAAAGTAACCACAAGTGTTTGATGGTGACAGCCATTGGGCCCTGTTCCAGGTCCCCTCTACCTTGCAGCCTTCACAGGCGTGGACTCCATAATGGTAGCCCGAGGCCTTGTCCCCGCAGATTCTACATTCGATGTTCAGTGCTCCACTGGGAGACTCGTCCACACTGCCGGGGACCACAGGGCAAGTCACCGAGGAGGGGCTTGAAGCTGGTGAAAGTGTGTCTGGGGAAAAAAAGGAGAGACAGATGAACAGTCCAGGCATCACTCTCCTGTGTCTGAACAGGGTCTGTGAGGGTGTAATTTTGCATATGAGGCCTCTAGTGCTGAGGCATAAGCCAGTTGGCAGAACACCCATGCAGGGCTGGGCCTGCGTTTATGCACAGTAAGTGTTCATAAACCACACTTACTGCAATTTGGCAAAACTCAGTCTCTTCTTGGGTACAAGTGTCACCAGGGCTCTTTGGCTAGACTGTGTGGTTAAGACCAAAGGTGACCACAAGGATGCATGCCGAGTTATTGGGACTGTCTGCCTCTAGGTCATACCCTCTTGCACTCCTGCAACTGCCATTGGGCTGTGCATCCAAAGCCAGCCTGCTCCCTCTCACTGCTGCTAAGCTGACCCCAAGCTTGGACCAGCCCGCCTCTGATCACACATCTCCCGACCCGCGCGCCTCTGATCACACATCTCCCGACCCGCGCGCCTCTGATCACACATCTCCGGACCCGCGCGCCTCTGATCACACATCTCCCGACCTGCCTGCCTCTGATCACACGTCTCCCGACCCACGCGCCTCTGATCACACATCTCCCGACCCGCCAGCCTCTGATCACACACCTCCTATGCACACATCTTCAGATTGACACATCTGTGGACCCACACACCTCTGGACCCACAAATCTCCTGACCGCGCATCTCTGATCGCATATTTGCGCTCTGCACATCACCACACCCGCACACCTCAGGACCCCTGCATCTCTGGACCCGCGCATCTCTGATTCGCCTAGCTCCTGATCCGCACATATCCTGATCTGCACTTCTCCAGTCCACACATCTGATCCGCACATCTCCAGACTCGTGCATCTCTGGACCATCACATCCCTGATCCGCATATCTCCAGATCCCCACATCTTGGGACCCCCATGTCTCCTAATCTGCACATCTCTGGCCCCCTCATCTCCAATCTGCACCTCTGGGCACCCGCATATTTCCAGACCCGCACATCTCCAGACCGCACATCTCAGGAACCACACTGTGCCAGACCCGCACATCTCCTGATCCCTACATCTCTGGACCTGCTCGTTGCCATCTCCCCCATACCTCACCCTGCAGGACTCCCCTTGCCCCTGCGCATGACAGGTGCTACACAGAACTCACTTTGTTTGCTTCCTTCCTTCCTTCTAGTTCTTCTGCAATTGTTAACCCAATACATGCACCAGAATACAGTATAAAAATCTATGTGGGCAACACCAAATGCATAATCCACGAAAGGGAAAATATAAGTTGGAATTTATGAGAGCTAATAAAAACTTCTGCTCTGCAAAAGACATTGCTAAGAAAATTAAAGACGAGCCACAGACTGGGAGAAAGTATGTTCTACGCACATGTGGTAATACACAAAGAGGTCTCGAAACAACAATAGGAAAACTACCAACTCAATTGAAGAACGGGCAAAAGATCTGAACGGGCATGTCAGCAAAGAAGATCCACAGATGGCAGGTAAGCGTATGAAAGTGTGCCCAGCATCACATGCCATTGGCGCACTGCGAATGCGGACAGCCATGCGATGTCGCTACACACCTACTGGGATGATTGAAATCCACAAAACCAACGTCATCAAATCTGGTGAGGATGTGGAGCAACAGGAACCCCCATTCATTGCTGGTGGGAATGCAATGAGACCGCCACCGTGGAGGACATTCTGGCAGTTCCCGACACAGTGAAGCAGTTTTACTGTACGATGGACTCACACTCCTAGGTATTTGTCCAACTGATTTGAAACTTCTGCCCACACAAAACCTACACATATTTAGAGCAGCTTTATTTTTTTTTAATTTTTTTATTTTTAGACGGAGTCTTCCTCTGTCACTCAGGCTGGAGTGCAGTGATGTGATCTCAGCTCACTGCAACCTCTGCCTCCTGGGTTCAAGTGATTCACCTGCTTCAGCCTCCCCGGTAGCTGGGATAACAGGCGCCCATCACCATGCCCAGCTAATTTCTGTATTTTAAGTAGAGACAGGGTTTCAGCACATTGGCCAGGCTGGTCCCAAACTCCTGACCTCAAGTGGTCTGCCCACCTTGGCCACCGAAAGTGCTGGGTTTACAGGCATGAGCCACCATGCTTGACCAACTCTTTAATGCAATTATGAAAGAAGCCAGTCTGAAAAGGCAATATGCTACATGATTTCAAATTCATGACATTCTGGAAAAGGCAAAACTAGAGTAACGGTAAAAAGATCCATTTCTGGGCTGGCTGGGGTAGTAGAGGCAGGGCTGAATAGGTGAAGCATGGGGGTTTTTGATGTGGGGAAACTATTCGTATAAAAATGTAACAGTGGTCTGGGCGTGGTGGCTCATGCCTGTCATCCCAGAACTTTGGGAGGCCAAGGCCAGCAGATCACTTGAGCTCAGGGGTTTGAGACCAGCCTGGGGAACATGGTGAAACCCTGTCTTTACAAAAAAATACAAAAATTTGCTGGGTGTGGTGGCATGCACCTGTAATCCCAGCTACTTGGGAGGCCAATGTGGGAGGATCAGCTGCGCCCTGGGAGGCTGAGGCTGCAGTGAGCTGAGATTATACTGCCGCTGTACTCCAGCCTGGGTGTCAGAGTGATACCTCCATCTAAAAAAAAGTAAAGGAAAGAAAGAGAAAGAAAGAAGGAGAAAGGAAGGAAGAAAAAAGAAAGAAAGAAAGAAAAGAGAGAAAGAAACAAAAAAGAGGGAAAGAAATAAAGAAAAGAGGGAAAAAGAGGGAAAGAAAGAGGGGGACTAGGTGTGGTGGCTCACACCTATAATCCCAGCATTTTGGGAGGCTGAGTTGAGCAGATTGCTTGAGCCAGGAGTTTGAGACCAGCCTGAGCAACATGGTGAAGCCCCGTCCCTACAAAAAAATACAAAAAAAATTAGCTGGCTGTGGTGGTGGGCACCTGTAGTCTCAGCTATTTGGGAGGCTGAGGTAGGAGGATTACCTGGGCCCAGGAGGTTGAGGCTGCAGGAAGGCAAGATCAGGCCACTAAACTACAGCCTGAGCTTAGAGTGAGACCCTCTCTCAAATAAATAAATAAATAAAAATATGAAGTAAAAACTGATGGAAACAGACAAATCTGCAATTATAACTGGAGATTTCAACACCCCTGTCTTAATAACTGGTGGAACAAACTGACGGCAAATCACGCATATGGAAGACTTGAACGACACGATGGAGGTTCGCTCTTGTCATCCAGGCTGGAGTGCAATGGCGCGATCTCGGCTCACCGCAACCTCCACCTCCTGGGTTCAGGCAATTCTCCTGCCTCAGCCTCCTGAGTAGCTGGGATTACAGGCACGCACCACCATGCCCAGCTAATTTTTTGTATTTTTAGTAGAGACGGGGTTTCACCATGCTGGCTAGGTTGGTTTTGACTCCTGACCTTAGATGATCCACCTGCCTTGCACTCCCCAAATGCTGGGATTACAGGCATTAGCCACCATACCTGGCCATGAATAACCAACTTAATCTCATTGATATTTACAGAGTATTCCACAAAGCAACTGCAGAATATGCATTCTTCTCAAGTACATATCGAACATTTACCAAGACAGGCCATACTCGGCATCATGAAATAATTCTTAATAAATTATAAAGGATTCAAGTCATGCAAAGAATATTCTCTCTTTAGACCACAATGGAACTAAATTAGAAATCAGTAACAGAAATATGTCTAGGAAAAAAATCCCCAAATATTTGGAAATCAAAAATAAACTTTAAATAACCCGTGAACTCAAGAATAAAGCAAAAGGGAAGTTAGGAAATATTTCGAATTGAAAGCAAAAACACAGCATCTCCAAAGCTGGGCACGGCGGCTCACACCTGTAATCCCGGCACTTTGGGAGGCCAAGGCAGGCGGATCACAAGGTCAGGAGTTCAAGACCAGCCTGGCAAAGATGGTGAAACTCTGTTTCTACTAAAAATGCACAAACTAACCAGGTGTGGTGGCGCGTGCCTGTAATCCCAGCTACTCAGGAGGCTGAGGCAAGAGAATCGCTTGAACCTGGGAGGCAGAGGTTGCAGTGAGCTGAGATCACGCCACTGCACTCCAGCCTGGGCAACAGAATGAGACTCTGTCTCAAAACAACAACAACAACAAAAAACACAGCATCTCCAAATTTGTAACATGATGTTCATGGAGTGCTTAGATGGAAATTCTGGCACTAAATGCCCAGGCTAGAAAAGAAGAAAGGTTCAGGCTGGGTGCGGTGGCTCAGGCCTGTAATCCTAGCAATTTGGGAGGCAGAGGCAGACAGATCACCTGAGGTCAGGAGTTTGAGATCAGCCTGGCCAATATGGCGAAACCCTGACTCTGCTGAAAATATAAAAATTAGCTGGGCATGGTGGCGGGTGCCAGTAATCCCAGCTACTAGGAAGGCTGAGGCTGGAGAACTACTTGAACCTGAAAGGTTGCAGTGAGCCGAGATGGAACCACTGCACTCCAGCCTGGGCAACAGAATGAGACTCTGTCTCAAAATAAAATAAAATATAATTCATAAGCATCTGGACAGACTGATCAGAAAAGAGGGACAAGATATAAATTATAAAAATCAGACATGAGAGAGGTGATACCATGATAGATTCTACAGATATCAGAAGGATAATAAAGGAACACTATGAACACCTTCATGTCAGTCAATCCCATAATTTAGATGAATAAATTTTCTGAAAGACACAAATTACCAAAGTTAACTCAAGAAGAGAGATATGAGCCAAATAGCCTCATATCTTCTTTTGTGTGTGAGAGTTTTGCTCTTGTTGCCCAGGCTGGAGTGCAATGGCATGTTCTTGGCTCACTACAACCTCTACCTCCCAGGTTCAAGTGATTCTCCTGCCTCAGCCTCCAGTGTAGCTGGGATTACAGGTGTCCACCACCATCCTTGACTAATTTTTGTATTTTTAGTAGTGATGGGGTTTCGCCATGTTGGCAAGGCTGGTCTTGCCTCAGCCTCCCTAGTAGTTGAGATTACCAGCACC